CAGTTAGGAATTCCACAAACTGGTTTTAGAGAAAACAAAACACGTTTATTAACTACACAAGATTTTAAGTGATTATAAGGGATAGCAAACAGATCAAAGCAGATTACTGAGCAAATAAAACAAACATGCAAACTAAGCTTAATATACTAAAGAAACTAGTTACAAGTGGTAATTTCTCACCCTAAATGTTGCTTTAGGCAGATTGCAGAGGTTCTTGAAGACAAGCTGCTCTTGCTTGCAACTTAAAACTCTAGGTATTGCTTTCACAGGCCAGACGCCTTTTCCAGACTGGGCTTAGTCCTTCTACCCCCACCTCCCTTTTATCTTTGTTTCTTAGATGTTTCCAGCAGTCATCCTGGGCGGGGATTCAGTGAAAAATTAACCCTGATTAACTCACTTCCCTGCCTTAAATCGAATTACATATGGCAGGAATCCTTTGTTTCCCAGTTTGATCCCCACCCTCTATTGATGGAAAAATACTAGTAGTCCAAGATGGAGTCCAGTACCAGGTAACATGATCACATGACCTTGCAGTGTCAAAGCAGCCATGAGTCAACGGCCCTATGAAGCATCCCAGGAAGGTGGGTGGGTGGGTGTTCCCCAGATGCAAACACTTTTGTAACTGATACATAGTCATATTCTTAAATTTAGATACAAAAATGATACATGCATACAAATAGGATAATCACATTCAACAAATCATAACCAGGGCCAGCTTTAGGCCGATTCACCCGATTCCGCTGAATCGGGCCCCGCACCTAAGAGGGCCCCGCAGCTGTCCACCCCGCCCCCAGCTCACTTCCCCCTCCTCCCCTCCCCTGAACGCTCCGCCCCTGCTCCTCCCCTGCTTCCCGCAAATATCTGATTCGCGGGAAGTCTGAAAACAAGCAGGGGCAGGCGGCAGCAGGTAAACTGGGGCGGAGGGGGGTGCGAGGAGGGATCCGGGGAGGCGCGGCCCAGTCCGGCTCCGGCCGAGCACCCCCGGCTCGGGCCCTGGGGTGCCAGCCCTGGTTCCGGCCGAGCGCGCCGGCCGGGCACCCCCGGCCGAGCACCCCCGGCCCAAGCGGCTCTGGCCCCGGTTCCAACCGAGCGCGCCGGCTCGGCCCCGGCCGAGCACCTCCGGCCCCGGCCCGGGTCGGCTCGGGCCACAGGGCGCCGGCACCGGTTCTGGCCCAGTGCACCGGCCTGGCCGAGCAGCCCCGGCCGAGCGGCCCCGGCCCCGCGGCCCCAGCCCGAGCGGCCCTGGCCCCGGCTCAGCTCGGGCCCTGGGGTGCCGGCCCCGGCCGAGTGCACCGGCCGAGCACCCCTGGACCCAGACCCAGCGGCTCCAGCCCGGACCCAAGCCCCTTGACCCTGGCTGGAGCACAGCCCGATTCCTCGGGGTGGGGCTTCCTGCAAGCCCCGCCCCCAGGAATCAGGCCCCACTCTTGCTAAAGCCGGCCCTGATCATAACCTTTCCAATGATATCTCACATGCCTTATCTTGCACAAAACACATCTTAGTTATGCCATATTCATATCATAACAATATCTCTATAAAGAATATGGGGCGTAATGTCACACTGGACTCCCAATTTCAGGTGCCAGCTCTTTCAGTATTCTGGGATGGAAATTATCTGGACTCCCTGATTTGAGCACATTAAACTCTAAGTTTTCCTTCTACTTCAGGTGTGGTAAAGTCTTCTCTAAGAATAATTTTTCAAAGCAAGCACTTGGTAAAATTCATAAGAAAAGCCATACTGGGTTAGACCAAAAGTCCATCTAGCCCAGTATCCTGTCTTCCAACAGTGGCCAATGCCAGGTGCCCCAGAGGGAATGAACAGAACAGGTAATCATCAAGTGATCCATCCCGTCAACCTGTCCCAGCTTCTGGCAAACAGAGTGACGCCATTCTTGCCCAGCCTGGCTAATAGCCATTGATGGACCTATCCTCCATGAATTTATCTAGTTCTTTTTTGAACCCTGTTATAGTCTTGGCCTTCACAACATCCTCTGGCAAGGAGTTCCATGGATTGACTATGCATGGCGTGAAGAAATACTTCCTTTTGTTTGTTTTAAACCTGCTGCCTATTAATTTCATTTGGTGACCCCTAGTTCTTGTGTTATGAGGAGTAAATAACACTTCCATTTCTACTTTCTCCACACCAGTCATGATTTTATAGATCTCTATCATATCCCCCCATAGTCATCTCTTTTCCAAGCTCAAAAGTCCCAGTCTTATTAATCTTACTTCATACGGAAACCGTTCCATACCGCTAATCATTTCTGTTGCCCTTTTCCGAACCTTTTCCAATTCCAATATATCTTTTTTGAGATGGGGCAACCACATCTGCATGCAATATTCAAGATGTGGGCGTACCATGGATTTATATAGAGGCAATGTGATATTTTCTGTCTTATTATCTATCCCTTTCTTAATGATTCCCAACATTCTGTTCGCTTTTTTGACTGCCACTGCACATTGAGTGGATGGTTTCAGAGAACTATCCACGACTCCAAGATCTCTTTCTTGAGTGGTAATAGCTAATTTAGACCCCATCATTTTATATGTATAGTTGGGATTGTTTTCCAAAGTGCATTACTTTGCATTTATCAACATTGAATTTCATCTGCCATTTTGTTGCCCAGTCACCCAGTTTTTGAGAGATCCTTTTGTAGCCCTATGCAGTCTACCTGGGACTTAACTATTATTCACTTCCTGGGACTTCGCTATTATTTCTAACAGTAGTTTCATTTGTTTGGTAGAGCTGGGCGTGGGAAGCCTGGGCAGCAAGGAAACTGAAACCATTATTAGTTATCCTCATTTTGGCATGTTCTAGACTGTAGTCCTGTTCTACCTCCATGCAGTGCAAGTTATGATGGAAATAGCTCATCAGGAACATTAGCTGGTATAAAAAGACAGTTCTAAAAAATGACTTCCTAGGAATGCTAAGCAGGTCTTGTGCACCTGTCCCAGGAAACAGCTATGTACATATTGCACATTAATGCTCTCAGGGCCTAGTTCTGTGCGCCTTTTAAAAAAAGTTTACATGTGCATACTTGAAGTCTGCATTCGAATTAGCCATCAGATTCCACAAGAAGATTGGCAAATGGCTGCATATTTTGGATGGTGTAAGGGCATGAGACGTCAATACACATTCCCGGATACAATTAGGTACAATAAAAAAATCCATAAACATGGTATTGGTACCCTTCAAGGGATTGGTAATGGGGGACACAATCTTTCACTTACAGGTTATGTGTCATTACTACGTGATGGGTGACTGTTCAGTGTGCTATAGGAAATGAGTGGGTTGTCTCTTCGGTCCACTAGGAACTGGACTGATATCTACATCACCAAAAAGAAAAAAACAACAACTGTCATTAATTGGCAAGCCTGCTGACAGTCTCAACAGAACCACAAAGATTTGTGTGAATATGGAAACTTAACTATCCTATCACTTGTAGGCAATTCTTCCAGAATAGGGTTGAGACATATTGTCAGGAAAGTAAAGGAGACCTTTATTACCAGTCCCCATATTACAGATGTTCTAGTAGTAAAAGATTCTAGCCTCCAGAACTGTCAAGATGACACCTATCCACACTTTCAAAAAAAGGAGGAGGTGATTAAAAGAAAAACAAACCCACATATCTGTCCATGTACGTCTCTACGCACTGTTTACATCCATGAGAATATTTTTAGTGAGGCACCCACACTAAAATATTTTGCTTCATATTATGTTCTAATTTGGTTACATTAATCTAAAATAAAAACACAAAACAACTCAATACTACTTAATTAGATTCTCCAAGACAAGTTAACCTAAGCCATATGGTATTTTCCCCAGTAGTCACAATATACTGACCTTGATACTAGGAAAATGTGTGCTCTTCGGCTTTAAAAAAAATGGTGCTATGTGCTGTATTGGCAAAAAGGACGCAGTGAGAGAGTGCTACACATCTTACAGTACAATCCTGAATGGCCTCAGAGAAGTTAGTCAAAAGTAAAATATTCTATTTATTGTTAATAACTGCAATGACAGTGTTTGAACAATGATTTCACTAAAAAGGCTGCCACGCTAGTCAGACATCTGGCCTGTAATCAAACTAAATAAATCTTAACATTTTAATGTAGATAAATTAAATCACTGAAAAGAGGTGATCTGTTCAACCAGATAATGTTGTTTTTATAAGATGGGAAAGACAGCAGGATCTAACTGCTTTGCTGTTGTAAATTTCATTTGGGAAATATGTCCCTCCTTTCACACAATGTCTTGGGGAGTATTTCCTCTCTATTTCTATATCATAGGTCATTATAATACACATATAAACATCATGTAGTTCATATAAAGAAGAAAGACCCAAGAACCAGAGAAAAATAATAGCTACAAATAATGCATAGCTATGTAAATGAATGAGGATGGCTTGAGTCTGGTTTTGACCTTTAGGATAAGTACAAAATAAGTTCAGATCCTTAGAAGAATCCCAGCCTCCCTCCCCTTCTTATGCTTTGCCATCATCCCTTCTTTCTCAGTTTCTCCTTCTCTGTCCTAGAGGGTGACATCTCAGCCTACATCTTCCTCTGTCGTCAACCGAATTCGGTGTCATTAGTTATAGGACTCACTTGCAATGGCTATTTTAAAAGGAAAGTTAAAAAGAGCAAATTCCACACTGAACAGGATTGCGACAGGCAAAGTAAGCGGAAGAGCCAGATGCAATTGGGAGAATACAGGCAGAGGATTATGTCACACATATCCTCCCCTCCCCGCCCCCCAAATCATCCCAACCCTTCTCCTCGGTCGGGTGTCACATTAGTTAGTGAAACTACTGTACAAGAATCCAGCCCCAAATTCGGAACAGGAGAAGCTGCTTCCATGCAAGCCACATTCAGCAGTTTCCAACTGAGCAATTGCATCCAAATACCAATCCCGACACAAGACACATCTCCTCTCCCCCTGCATTACGTACACAGGCAAGCAGGAGGGCTTGCAGGGAGAGAGATGGACAATTGTCAGTACTCACACTCAGAATAACGCAAGATGGAAGCAGGGCAGTAACTTCGCTGATCAATTCTCACAGGCGCCAGCAAAAATGCACCGATTCCCGCTGCAGCTGATCCTGCTGGGTCAACAAGTCCTTCAGTGCCTTCCCCCTCTGGATGCACTGTAGAGCAGTGAGGGGTGAAGGCGGCTGTTCCGCTGTTTTTGGTTTAAGAAGCAATCAGACCCAGAACTGTCATGCAATAAAACCCTCCCTTCGCTATTGCTGCTGGGCTTCTCTCCAACGCTGCCCCGGCTACTCCCGTCCCCCGCACGCCGCAGGGAACTCCTGGCTGAGGCCGGTCGGCGTGCCCCCAACTCCAGCCAGCATCCCAGAAGGGAAGAGCACAGGGCAGCAGGGCGCTGCTTGCTCCCGCCTGGGGAGCGGCCGGGGAAAGGGGCAGCGCTGGGCTCCCCCCTGGCTCCAGCCCCGCGTCCCTCGGGAAGCGCCTACAGGCTGCGATTGCAGTGCAAGGCGCTGCGGCTGTAGCCGGCTCCTGCCATCCCCCTCCGCGCGCCTTGCCCTGCCCGGCCTCTCCTCGCCGCCGAGCCCGACACCTGGCCGAGCCCAGCCAGCCAATCAGTGCAGAGCGCCGGCCCCTGCTCGGGAAGGGAGGGGGGAAGCAAATGAGGAACTAAGCCAGGGCGCGCGCGCGCGGACCTGGCCGCCTCTCCCAAGGGAGGGGGGAGATGAGGAGTACAGCGCGCGCTTGAACCACGCGAGCCTGGGACTGGCGCGCGCGTGATCTAAGCCGTGGCACATGCACTGCAGCGCGCAAGGGGGGCGGGGGTGAGGATGCAATTGCAGTCATCACACGGAAGGAGGTGCGTGCGTGGTGCACAGGGCGCCCCAGGGGACGGGGCTCACACGTGCTGTCATTTCACACAGCTTTGCCCGCACACACGCACACGCCAGGGGGAGGGGGAACTCGAGTTGCCACACTATTGTAAAGTTGCAGTCAAGATTGTGAACGTCGCTCTCCTGCTGCCACCTCCCCATCTCACCCCACTTCTGCAGAACATAATAGAGGGGGTGGGATGTCAACATTAGAATGCATAGAGGGAGCAAAGGAAGGTGATAGATTAGATCAAGACTAAGCTTATGAATTCTAGTCAGGTGGCAGTCCAACCTGATCAGAAGGGGAGAGCTGGGAGAGGTGAAAATTGTCATGTGTTAGAGACCAAACCCCGGAAACACAAGCACTAGGAAAAGGATAGGACCACCACATCTACCACGGTACTTAGGCACCTAAATTCCAGTTTTAAGCAACAGAGCTCCTGCTTAACTACCGCCTAACCATGGAGGCAACTACATTTACTCAGCACCTAAGTTTCTGCAGTAAATGTTCCCTAGGCATGTACATTTCTGCCTCTAAGCATGAATACAGCTGCCTCCCTCTAGGTACCTGGACACTTGCCTCATAGTTAAGCAAACTGAGGGAAGACAGGCCCAGTAGTGCTGGAACAATTTGTACAGTGAGGATACTGAGAACCCTGTATATGATGGAAACCACTTCAAGCCAGGGGTGCGGCAGCATCCCCAACACTAACATCTATGTTCAGGCCCTTTGGGTCTGATCGAGTAGGTGTGTTCAGAGGCTTCCTATTGGATAGGGTCCCATTCAAAACCAGCCAAAGGAGAAGGTAGTGCTACTGCTGCCGCCCACCTAATAACTTCAGCCCAGTGATTACAGCACTTACCTGGGTTTTGGGACCTTCACCTTGAATTCCCCCATCAGAAAGAAAAAGGATTTGAACAGGGGGGTCACCCATCTTTCAGTCAAGTGCTCTAACCACTGGACTATGTAATATTCTGATGTGGGATTTCTCTCTCTCTCTCTCTGTTGAAGCAGTTCCACTGTGGATAAACACTTAAATGGTCATTGAGTCAGAAAGAGAGAGAAAGAGCAAGAGAGAATAAGATTGTAGCCTGGTGGTTAGGGTACCCACATGGGAGGTGGGAGACCCAGTCCCCCTTTCTCCAATCACTCTCACTATTTTTTCAGAGTACATCAGCTTCAACTGCAGACACCGAGGGAGCCCTACAGCAGAATTCAGAGTAGCAGCCGTGTTAGTCTGTATCCACAAAAGTAACAGGAGTACTTGTGGCACCTTAGAGACTAACAAATTTATTAGAGCATAAGCTTTCGTGGGCTACAACCCACTTCTTCGGATACATTTCTTTGAGCATAAGCTTTCGTGGGCTACAGCCCACTGCGCTCAGTGATTAGTACATGCTCCTGAGGAATGTGGGAGACCCCTGTTCAAATCCCTTCTACCCATCAAAGAGAGGATACTTCAGTCCTAGTATGCCACACCCCAGCGAAGTGCTCTACTCCCTGGGCTAAAAGTTATACAGGAGGCAGTGGGGTCTATGTGGAGTGAGGCAGGCACCTAACCCATTCTCACAAAAAACAACTTAGGCTTCTAAGCTGTTTGACTCCAGGAGAAGGTTCCTTTTTGTGGATCACAAGCAGACACAGATGCCTCCTTCAGGCACACACCCCTCTCCTCAGCATTTCCCATTGGCTAGATTAGGCAGCTCCCTGAGTAGCATGTTGGCTTGTGTGGCTCCCATTCTTAGCCACTTATCCCTCCCCATTCATTGTATAGGGAGCCTATCATGTTTTGTGGATTGTAGAGTTGTTTCTGTGATTTCCTAGATGCCTAAGAGTTAGGTGTTGCAACATTTCGCATCACAAAGCTTAAGTCCCTTTGTGGATTCAGGACAGAGCCTCTGGGTGCCTCTACAATAGAAAAAAAAATAGTGCCTGTGTTACAGCAATGGCCAGAAACAGTGCAGCACAGGTGTTTACCACCATCATCTCATGAAAACCTGCACAGAGCAGATTTTCATTACATGATGGTAAAACCCCTTATATCCTTGCTTATACCGATGCAGCTGCACCATTGGTGACATTTACTGCAGCCCAGTTAGTAAGTTTTCTAGTATGGACAAGGCTTAGGTGGAAAAAAGGAACAATTTATGCATTTTTTAAAGCGGGATGAGGATGCAATGTGGAAATCTCAAGTAAAATTGTTTGTCACCACATATCTTGAAAACTATCAAGTGAAAACTCAACAGTACATAGCAGAAGAGACAATATGTTCCCAGGCTTGGGAATTATTGTTTACATCCCAGGAACAGAGAGTTTAAAGAGAAGTATTTCACTAATTACCCTGGGTTTTAGTTCAAAAAATAAATCCTGCAAGAATGTAAATCAAACTGTCTCTTTTGTTGGTCCTATTATGCCTTTCAAGAGTGACATGGAAATAGGGGCGGGGAGGGGAGAGAAAGCAGAAAGTATCTGCTCTCTTTGCCCTGTTGTGAGGCTTTTCCTTTTCTGGTCGGAGCAACTATACATTTTACATGTTTTCCTTCAAAGTCTCACTTTTCAATATTTCTGTGGCATTTTGACTGGTCAGATAACACCATGTTCCCATTCTTTGCAGTAGAGTGTCTTACAATAGATCCTGCCTTCAGGATGACATGATCAGACAAAAATATGCTCTCTGGAGCTGTAGCATTCATATATATTTAGCTTAACAAGATCTGAATTATGAGAAATGAAATTTTCATTTTCTCTCTAGGTAATTGCCTCTGTATCAAGATCAGATCTTGTATTTGTTATAATGGTACCTCTTTTCTTTCTAGTGCAGTGATCTACAAATTCAGCTTGAATATGTCTGTTACCACCATTAGTTACATAAATAGTACTGAAGAATTCTTTGGAAGTATGTGAGAGGTAGGAGAGAAAAGTTTTCAAAATGTTCCTGGCCTGTTTGAGTGTATTTTTGTTATTTACCTTGACAATGTAGGTTATGGAGTTATGTGCTGTTTATAAAATGGATATGTAATAAATCATACTATCTAATAGGCTACTATGGCAGTAATTACAAGTGTCAAAATTAATTTGGACAGCTGTTGATACTACTATGCCTATAAATATTTAAAGGTTTTAAGATATGTAACACGCCTTCCTAAAAATGCAAACAATCTTCATATATGGCATGGCACTGATCTTTTGGTCGTTGTCTTCAATAGGAAAAATTTCCACTAACTTCAGTTGGTGCAGAATAAGTCCCCCTGAATAGACATTGCTGATGGCTATACAGTGTGGTATCCCAACCCCATAACTGGTAGGTGAGGTACATGATACCGCCACAAATTATGCATTAAAAACCACCACCTGGGACAGATGAGGGGTGATGACCCATCTCTCCAAAGAAGATTAGGTGCCACTACCCAATACCTGTATTCAAGGCCTTAGTGTAGATACAGTCTGCAGACTATGTGCTGAGAAAAGGTGGATAGATGTACACGTTCAAAAAAAGGTGGGGGTGAGGAACCAGATGGTACAGACTACCAAGACTTCCTGCCATTTGGCATGAATGTACTGTTTTATCATAATCAAGTTGTGGCCCGGTCAGTCATTTCCAACAATCAGTGAGTCATTGCTGTAATCGGACCATGCTCTTTATACCTCCTGTGTCATTGCAGATTGTACTGTATTGGGCTAATTAGTTTTTCAGTAAAGTTATTTTCATACCTGTTTTTCATGCTTGTTTAACTTTACTTTAAAGTAGCTGCAGCTGTTCACTGCAAGGTACATTGGTTTGATTTCAGTTAAAATATTTTGTATTCAATAAATCTTGGCAGATTATCTAGAATAATATTTCATTTGCATTCATATTATATCACAAATGAAATAAAATACTACATCAAATATTTATGAATGTGTGACAGAGTGCAGGGTGCAAACAGCTGAGTCTGCACTCTGATCACTCTAAATTAGTTTCCCAGTAGGCAGCTGATGGGGGTAATTACTCAATCAGGCTGCCTGGCTAAGCCAATTATCCCATCAGCCCTTGGCTGATAAGAGGCAGCACAGGAAGGAAGTGCAAGGGGAAAGGAAGGAGAGAAGGAGAAACAAGGCTAGCTGAGTCTAGCTAGACAGAAGCTGTCAGGGTTCCCTTCCCACTCCGAACTCTAGGGTACAGACACGGGGACCCGCATGAAAGACCCCCTAAGCTTATTTCTACCAGCTTAGGTTAAAAACTCCAAGGCACAAATTCTCCCTTGTACCTTGGATTAGATAACGCTGCCACCACCAAGTGATTAGACAAAACTCAGGGATAGGACCACTTGGAGTTCCTACTTTCCCCTAATATTCCCCCAAGCCCTACACCCAGGGGTGACTCCAGGCACCAACGTGGCAGTCAGGCTGCCTTCG